TCAGGCTTCATTAGTTACACTGCTCCTGGAACTACTGCTTTTTGGAAAGAATCAAGAAACAAAACATAACACAGTTACACAGGGCTAACCTATGGCTTTACCCAAAGGCTACACTGTGATTTGAAGCAATATTTAACAGCCAAGAGATAAAAGCAAACAGGTTTCACAGCTGATGATTTGTGAGCACTGTGCATTTCCCTTTGGTTTGCTCCTGGTCACGCATCTGCGTGTAGGCAGCTCTGTGAGCAGACAGAGGACCCTGATGCTTATTTATTCTTTCAAATTTGATGCTGTTATTTTAAAAAATAGAAGTGCCGAGGAGAACTCAGGCTTTGTTTTCCCTTCCTCCTGTTCTGAGGTGGAGAGGACTGTGGGATGTTTTTAGTCTTGGCACACAACTGCAGAAAAGTCAATCTGTCACAGTCGAGCAGATTTAATATTAGTCATGAATGAGATCATGATTTGCGTACAGTAAGAGTTATTATTTATGGTACAGTGAGCCACTGCGAGAGCTTGTGGGAGCTCATGACTAATTGTATACGGTCCCATTGCTGCCAGGGATGGATGAACTCTTTCTCTTACCTAGGGCCAACACTAATAAGTTAACCCATGACCTCTCCTCTTCTCATTCCCTCTACCTTCTTCATAGTCTCAGCCATCCAAAGGAAAAAGCAAATCCCACAAATTTCTGTACTTTGATACCGGTATAGAAACTTGCAAACAAGGAAAGCATTCGCATAAGCTGTCCATCTGGAATAAGGATTGTTCAATGAACCACAGAGAAATGTATGTTTGAGGCCAGTCACTCGCAGCAGAACTGCTCTTGTGAATAAAGGTTTTGCAGGGCTGTGTCTTTTGATTAAAAGAAAACAGTGAATTGGAGGAAAAGCAGCAAGAGCTTAATTGGACCTGGCTCACACAGAAGTGGAAGCCAGGCACAATGTGCTATGTTATCAGAATTAATGATTCAGATTACAGTTATTTTATGACCTTTGAATGAAGTATATGCAGGTATACATCAGAATATATATATTATTGCTGACTTTTTAAAGTTGAATGCCATCATTTGTAGTAAAACCTGCAGCATTTCTGTTACTTTTGCTGTGATGTGGATATGTGGACTTCCAATGATATATCACTTCAGTTCTTATATTTCACAGTATAAATGTTTTCTCAGGCTATTTTCCATGTGCTATATTAATGTGGAAAATATTGTTGATGTATATGCAAAACAACACATGACTTGGGAAAGGCTTGATTAGGGATCCTCAGTAAAAAGAACCAAAACATGAATCTCTGTGATGCACTAGTAAAATTATTTATGTTTTAATTTATGAAAAGGAGAAAATGAAGGATAGGATGAGATCAAATAAACTGAGTTGGAAATAAAAGTCCAATGCCACTACCTGAACTAAAGGACAGTAATTATTCCAGTTGGGAGTCCAGATTTATTGAAGAGTACAGAAGAAAGTATGCCTCATATGACCAATTTCCTATGACAAGTTTCTAAGTTCATATCGTTTCATGCTTGGTTTGTTCTTGCTCAAATCCCTGCAGCAACTGACTCCCAGACTGCGGTCCACGGTCTTTGAGGCCACGATAAGTAGGTAGTATCCAGTCTCAGAAATCATATCAGCTGTCTAGAGTTTTTAAGGTAAAGTTCAACAATAAGACTATAGAGTGCTCTGCTGGCCCTCTGGAGATGTGACTGTGGTCCACTGGTCCAGAAACTTGGTGGCACACCTGCCTTTGAGAACTTTATGAGCTTTGGATTCATTTGGTGTGGATGTGCTTTTATTTCCTGCTGGTTTTGAATAGGGGCATCACTGGGACCCTGCCACTGACAGGCAAGGTGCACCTCTGGACAGTACCGGGAGAGAGCCTGGTGTATACTTCACCTTGCAGACTGTCCCCTCAGGTTCCCAGCCACATTGTCTTGTATTTTCAAGGGGAAATTAGCTGAGCTAAATAACACCCTTCAGCAAAAACATGTTCACATCCTGTTTCTTACCTTTTAACTGTATGCACTGTTAGCGGAAAAGAGAAGTGCTTACATGCAAGTAATATAAACTGCTTTTCAACATGTAGTCTGCTGAGGTGTTGTGCACTGACAAAGAAAGGCTGACACATTTCATCGGATAGCTCAGCCCTTAAGGAAAGTAAAATCTCATCACATTGCAATACATAAAAGTGATAGTGGTGTTGATACGAAAATACCAAGAGACTTTCTAGAACGTTATGTTTTAGGACAGGATAAAACCCTTAGGATAGTATTATACTATATCTACATGCAGAGCCCATGCAACACCTACAGGAGGAGAGGGAGTCAATGTGGATGCATCTAAAACTATATCTTTGACTTACCTCGCAATGACAAAGAGGACACAACTGACTCCAAGGCAAGCTAGGAGAACATACATCCAAATATCAGGAGAAAGAGGGTTTAAAAAGGAGAAAACACCAGGGTTTGTCCCATTGGGCTTCCGGTACAAGATACTGATTCCCAGCGTCATGAAGGGCTTGGAAAAATCAATTACTTTCTCTCTTACATAGGTAATAGTGAGAGGGGCAACAGCCAGATCAGCTTTCTGAAAATACAAATGGGAAAATATTCATTCTTTTTCACGTTCAGCAAACGCACTACTATTTCTTTCATTCCCCGCCCCCCCCCCCCAAGTATTAAAAATAAACAAAATGAGACTATAAACCTGAAGCGTTCAACAAAATTTAACATCGCTAGAGTATTTTTGGCTACATGATATTCTGCCTCCTCTCTCTGCAGGCAGAAGGATATTCGTGACTTTCACATGAACAGGAGAGGTGTGACCAAGGACGTGGGACTTAGACCCGTGCAACGAGGCAGACTGTGAGTGAGAACTGCCAGCGCGTCTGGACAGGGACTATGTCCAAAGATCACAGACTGCTGCAGGGCAGAGGTGAGCTGGAAGCTCAGCCTTTGCTGCAGGGGTTTGTAGCTGAGAGGTGGGTAGGACCTGCGCTAGCTCAGCACCCGCCGCCCCACCGCAGATGGAGGTTCCCCCCAACACACTGAACTGTTGGTTCAGACGTACTGATGCGACTTCCTACTCCGACGAGTGGCAATAAACGCAGACCAGTGGCTCTAAAAAAATGAAAACTAATGCAAACATTTCATTTGGGCTGCCTTCATATAAAATACCACAGGCAAAAGGAGAACGAAGAGAAAAGGATTCAATCTTACATGATCTATGAGTTCTTTGACCATCCCATTCCACTCTCCTTTGTCATTCTGGGCTCCGTATTTACCATCAGAAACTAGTTTGACCTCATAGATGAAGCCTAAAATATTTGACAGCTCCTTTAGTAAGTCCAGGCAATAACCTTCAAATCTGTCATTTCCATACAAGGGCTTGTCAGACTTCTTGTACATAACATAGGGATCTTCCTACAGAAAAAGACAGTAGGCATGTAGCAATAGAAAGGAGGCTTGTTTCAGATTATATCAGTTTCTCTAAATTATGTAAATATTTTATAAATGGATTGCAATTAGATAGAAACCAGTAATTTACCATGTCCATTAAAAGCTGTTTTAAGTCTGTTAACGAATTGACTGAATCAATTAATGATAAGCATAAGGGCCCTAAATTTCAGTGGAACAGATCATTCAAGGCTCCCATGAGCTTTAATTAAAGTAGTGCTTAGCAGCTCCAATATCAGATCCAAGGTCTGTACTCTACATTGTCCCACCCTAAGGGCTAGGAAGGGATGTTGAAGGAGAGAGAAGCCTCAATACCGGACAAAGGAGAACCTAAAACTGAGTATTATGTGAAAAACTAATCTTTATTGAAAAAAGTCTTTAAATGTACAAAATAGCTGTGAGTTGAGCAGCTAGTTGCATGAGAGAGTGGAGAACAGCATAGGTAGATTGCAAAGTACCTTGTTGCTTCTGTTTTTAAAGGATTTTGGATAGAAGAAGATCAGAGCAAGCCGGTGTCTGCAGTTTAATGTGGCAAAAGACTTTTGGCAATGGAAAAGAAGTGTAGAGGGTGCCTTTGAGCTCTTTCCACTCCTCTTGAGGAATTAGGCAGAACAGTTGAAAAAAGTGGCATTACAGGCCAGGCAGAAAGCATGAGGCTGAACAACTCACGGATCCCCAGTTGCACATTTTCCATTTATCACAGTAAGGACATTTCTCAATCTGTCTATCCACTCTTTGCTACTTTCTTTCAGTCCTCTTCATCTCATTTTCAGTAAAAAGGAAGGATGTATAACCTCTGACTGCAAAGCTGAGTATTTGTATGTGTTAATTCTTCCGGGAAGAAAAGTATGCAGAGTTCATCTATGAAATATTGAAGTAAGCTAAACAATTTTGGAGGTGGAGGTTCCTGAGAGTCTTTCATTAGCAACAGGGTATTTTTGAATCCATCTCTGGATGGATTAATGTGTAAGTCAATTCTGAGTCTAAATCAAAAAAAATTGCTTGAAAACAGGGTACTTTAATAACAAATTGTTTAGCATGAAGGAAAACAGCCATGGAGGTGACAAAGGTGGCCGTGGAGAGCCCCACAACCCACCGTCAGCAATGCCTGCTTCCTACAGCACAGTTGGTGGTGTCACCTCCGCCCAGCGAGACTTACCAAAATGGTGGTGACGATAAGTGTCCGGTTAGCCAAGGAATCCGTGATGTTGGTTGATCGGTCCTTGTTGCTGTCCGTCATGTTAAGGCCACTGTATGAGTTCCAAACCCCAATCTGTGCAGAAGAGAGCAGGTGAGCAGCTGCCTGGTTGCAGCGAGCCGAACCGTTTGCCTAAACGCTCACTGCCCAGGAAGAGTGCACTGGCTCTAGTCACCACAGAAAGAGACACCAGCAGTACGAAATGCTAGAGAAGGGAAACGGCCGTAGATCTAAATAAGGCAGCAACATCAAATGGCTGATATAGAAAACACAGGGAACATACCACCCTTTCAAAAGCAGGTGGGAATGAATAAGCTGCAAGAGTTATAAGGCATGTCAATACAGAGGTGTATTAGCCAATTAGCTACAAAAGTGGAACACGTTGGCTTTGTTTCCTGCTAAAAAACGTCAAATGTCTATTTTTATGGATTTTTTTTTAATTTTTGTAAATGGTAGAGTTGAAACATACGGCAAGACCTCTCTCTTCCAATGCAACAGGTTAAAAGCTTGAATAAATAGATTGAAGCAGACTGAAGGATGCACTGGCCTTTTGCTTCCACTGTGCCTTCGGCAGGTTTAGCAAAGATTATTCTGTCATTTCTTGACTACTATATATGACAGAGCTAGCAAGGTGATAGTTTCACCCACTGATCAGTATTTGCTCAGTAAATATAAGTGGCAAAAGACAAATCACTTTCTAGCCCCAGAGACAGCAAAGAATTCCAGTATTAATGCCCAATCAAAAGCCTCAAGGTAAAGATCTTCGTGATTTCAGTGGATTTGGGTCTACACCTTGTGAGGGCAGCAATTATAACCATGTTGATTTATTCAGATAAATATTTACGTAACATAAACACAGTCTGAAAGCATCTTCAGGGTTTTTTTTGCCTTTAGATTTACATACACAGCATGGCTGAGGCCTGTTGTGAGAAAACTCCTGGTAATGGGCTGACTCAGGCAGTTTAGTTTGTATTGGACATTTGTGGAGAGCGCCAGATGGATGGCTTGGGGAACCGACCTCGGCCATCCACAGAGCCATTCACATTGCCATGCCACTCTGCCAGCATGTTTCAGCTCTACCTGGGAGGGGTCTGCTTTCAGATCATCCATGCTGGGATTGCCAGTGAAGCTGTCAAGTAAGTCTAAGACAAAACACACTCTGACTTCTCCTGTGTACTGAAGGTCTCGATCTGCCATCAGATGCTCAGTCATTTCAGACTCAGGCTGGACTCTTTTTCTTTGGTGGTTAACCGAGGCAGAGGTGGTGTTGCCTTTGCACCAAACCCAGCAGATTAGTTTTGTGCCTGCAGAGTGTGGATTTGGAGTAATAACTGTATAATTTCACGCAAACTTTGGGTTTGTCTCCCTGGGTGCCATTGCTTTTGCCTTTCACAACCTTTTTTTCCAAAATATGTTTAATGGAGATAGTCACGCCTTTTTTTAAAGATTATTTTTTCAAGCATTTATCAGTGATTCCTTTTGTTTCCAAAACTAGATCAGGTTGGGAAACTGATCTGGAAAGTACACATGAAATAAAATGTTGGATATTATGATAGCCTGTGCCAGGAATATAGTAAATAACCTGCGTCCTTGAATTTGCACCGAGGTGGCTGAGTTAATCAAAATGCCGTTCTGCTCGTCGTTACTGACTCGATATGCATTTATTGGCTGGCAGCAGGGAAGAGGAGAACAACCATGAAGAACATGGAGCGACACAGTCACAGTGCATACAAAATACACCAGGAGACCACTCTACATCTGGATAAAAGAATGACACCACAGGTCAACCTTGATTAGAGCGATGGAGGAGGTCAGAGGGGCACTGGAAAAACGAGGCCAAGGTAGTACATCACTATGGTGAATCCGGGGGATTTATTGCAGTTTAGTGACAAGTTTGAGAGGTGTCATGTGCCCTCCTCAGCAAGCCTGTGCTCTCAACCAATTGTAATTTGGTTTAAATCAATTCAGTATAGCACGAAATGCCTAGAGTCAAAAGCGAGACTGGTTCAATAGTGTTCTGCATGTCAGGTAGGATGATCTATTCACCAGTAATGAGGGAAATGGGAGCCTTTGTGCCTTAGCCTGATTCATTGAGGATTCAAACAAGGTTATTAAGTATGTGCTTTATAAGAACACAAAAAGAGTGCTATAGGATGTTTTGCACTGGTTGCTTTGTAGCACTAAAATCCCTCCCAAAACAACACAAAACCAAAACCTTTTTTAATTGCGAATGTGGGAAGGGTGGGAAATCACAAGAGCTGTGTGAAATATATACAAAATAGAATTCTAAGTGTTATAAGAAATTTGTATCTTGTTACTCCAGAACACTTTAAATGGGATGAATGCAGTTGTTATCTTCTCCTTACAGAACAGCAACCGTGGGCTGTATCTCCAGTGGGGAGCACCGCATGGGGCTGGTCTCTGACTCCCACTTTGGTGCCTTTTCTACCCGGCACCTCATGTTAAAAGAGGGCTGAGATCCCTGGGGTAATTTAGATCTTTTATAAACAATCTTAGTTCCAATTTCTCTATGTTAGTGAATGACAGCACCCACTTAATCATCTATATTATTTCTGTAAGGAGCTAATAACACACTTGTCAAGATTTTGAGTCAATAATGCTCCAACGTTGCCTGCACAGTACACGTTTTGTGGGAGGCAAAAAAACCCCAGCTCTGCACATTAAAGCAGTCCTTGCTGCTGATGCTAGTACACATTTGAAATGGTGTAAATTTACCACTCATGGTGAATCTTAGGTGAATCAGGAAGGCTAACAGCTGAGAAAAGGACTGCTTTTGCGGCAGCCAGGAGCCGCTACTCAAAGAGGGGAAAGGCACAGCTCCCAAGAAATAAAACAATAACTAAAAATAAGATTTTGGTTTAAAAGCTGAATCCTGACAAGATCTTTTTACTATTTGGAATTAACAGTGTCTCAAGTTGGGATGAAGTGTATTCTGCCAGAAAAATTCATACTGTCAGATAGACTGTTGTCTCTAAACTGCAATATGAGAGTCACTGTCAAAACCCAAAGGATGAGTCTGAAGACCCAGCCCAAAGGTTTTTCGCATCACCTGTCTGTGTACGAACCTTCTTCCACACTTTATATAAATGATTAGAAACCTCGCCAGCAGCCTTGGTACAGAGAAAAATAAACAGAGTGCTTCATTAAAAATGAAAAGAAAACCAGTCTGGAGACCTGTGTGGGAGCAATTACATTTAAAGTCTCAATTAACTCATCAGCAATTATCATTCAGAGTCAAGCCAGTGTACGCAGAGCAAGGGACAACGCTGTCTCCAGCTGATGTGAGCTGGTGGTGTTACCTGCATTACAGATTTTTGGACGCCCACAGCAACCACCTCCTAAGCGGTGGTGGAGGGAGCCATAGGGTGCCCCTCAGGAGCCCTTGTTTGCTGGCTGAAGTCAGAGGCAAGGCCATCATGCCTCCCTCGGGGTCCTCCCAGGTCGCCCTTAGTCTCCAGCAGGGGCCCTGGCTGGCGACAGTGGGGTTCGGATGCCATCCAGCTAGCATGAAACATGGCCGGAAGAATCCGTGCCTTTAGGCTCTTGCCTATGGTCTCTGCAAGTCAAGGAGCGCATTGTAAAATAACGAAACAATCTTAGTTAATGAAATAATCTTGCAAATAGTGGCTTTTACCCCAAGCACAGGAGATTCAAGCTGCGGAGAATGGACTTTCCTATGTCCTTGTCAGATTAGCTTTTTGTCATTGTTTTACAAAAGATCTGGTTACCTTTTCTGTTCCTTCCTCCTTGAGACTAATAATGTCCAAATCAAAATCCTTCCGCAACCCATCCGTTTTGTTGAAGGTTATGCGCCCTGTCAGGCCATCCCACCGTGCCGTTGGTAACACAAAAACCCTCTTTCCTGTAACAATTAGTCAGAACTACTCTGAAGCCATAACAAATATTGTATTTTAAATTAACCATAGCATTGAATCACTTTCAAATAGGTTTTAAACGTATGTGGCTTTTTTACTTTGATAAAAATCTCCTTCTTCAAATTTTTTGCTCTCTAATTTCTCTTCAACATGTTTTGTACTTTAAAATCACGCACAAGTTTGTGAGTTTATATATAGATTTACATATGTCTAGTACCGTATATAAAAAGACATACGGAAGAGAGAGAAAGAGAGAATAAAATATGTATTACACGTGCCCAAAGACAGGGCAGCATAACAATTCAGTAAGAAATTAAACAATGAGTTTGCCTTGTCCAAGCTTTGGGTCTGAACCTTGGCACCTGACAGTCTAAATCCACCAGCCTCGCTGGAGTGGTCCTCTTTACCCCAGCCTTTTAAGGGACTTTTTAAGCTCTCCATGACAAATGGGTAACCAATGGCAATCAGTGCTGAATGGGAGTCCCCAGAAGGTCTTTAAAAAACAGAGATGGCTAATCATCCCAAATCACCAAAGCTTTCTCAACACTTCAGTTCTGCATTTCCTAGTCTTGTATGATAGATACTGTCTGTGCTACTCAGAGCCCAGAAATCCATATTTTTCCAGAAAGATATAAATGAAGGAAGGGCTTTTGTCATTCTTGTTTGGTTTCTTGGACAGGTTGTGGTTAAATCTCTCCCATCAGCATTGGACTGCTAATGTCCTTGGATTTTGCTGCAAATCCCACCTGAATTGTTTCACTAATCCATACTCAGTTTTCATCACCAAGGAAGAAGACACAAGTTCCCAAGTAAGCAAATGAGGTGTATCATTCCTAATAGGAGCACTGCCCCTGCCTGTGCTCACAGATGTTGATGGCACCCTGATGATGGCTCTAAAAGCAGGCTTTGAGGAAAAATTTGGCCAGTCACAGAGACCTAATAAAAACTTTGTAGTGCAAGGTACACGTGAGTCTTATATATGTGTTTGAAGGACAGCATACAAGTTGAATATGATCAGTTTTGGTCTGGGTAGCATTTTACTGTTCTATCATAATTAATCCTTGTTTTAAACATTGGCATCGGGAGTAAGTTAAAGTGGTGGACTTTGAGCATCAGTCTGTAGAGCCATGACGACCCCCTGTGCTGGGGAATGCTTCTTTGGTGCAGCAGGATCAATGTGCAGAACTAACTTTCTCTGCCATTTAAGTTTTCTGTACCTTGTAGGCTTCCCAGGAAGCTCACCTTCTTTTAAATGAGATCTGTCTGTCTCTCATACAGCCCCCACTTTCTCCCCAAAGCTGAAGCTTATCTATAAAAGAAAGTACTTGATGGATTTTAACTGCAGATGATTTTTGTAATCTATTTCTGGTAGCTCCTACATTAGATTAAATTCTTCAAAGATACAAGAAAGGTTGATGATAAATGATGGTGGTTTCTTCATGTGTGTCAGCCATATAATTCTTAAATTACAAGCTTTTCTGCTGCGCACTGTTATTTGCTTCACTTAATTTGTTGTAGACGGATGACATAAGGAAAGCTGCATTAAAAATCAGCGGACTTACAGAACGGTGTCTCCCTTTCCTCTTAAATCTACATTCTAGCTCTGAATCTGCAGGATTTAATCTCACATGCTGGGATGTTATCACCATGTGTCTCAGACAAATCTACTGTATCTAGAATTTTGTGGAAATATAGTAGGACTTCTAAGCATGCTTAAGTAACAAAAGAATGAAAAAGCGCAAATGCAACAAACTTTTTATGAGACTTTCCATATTAACGACATGAGCACATACGAAAATCTCAGCTGTAAGCAGTGAAACACTTTTGTATGCTGATATAATTAAGATAGCAGGAAGAGACACATATGAATGCATTTCATTTCATAATATATCTTTTCCAGTCTGTCTTTTTATTACTCTGACATGACCTCCATCTCTTATTCATAAAGATGGAACATTTTTTTAGAGATCAATTCCTCCTTAGAGGGCAATTTGCTTCTGTGAAACGCTTGCATTTATTGATTACATATCAGATGCTCAGTTTCCCTGCTAACGTGATATGATCTTGAATAAAGGAACCAATATGTTATTTTTGGAAGTGGTATCAGGAGCCTACATCTCCATTCTCATAAAAAAGATTTATATGGTGAAATGCTAGCTCACTTTTGAAAATAGACATCGGCGTTTCTACCCCTACACTAAAAAAAAACGGAAAGAAAAGATATTACAAGCTGCATAGGTGTATGCTTGAATTTCAAGGTAGCAGAGAAGCACATATAGCCTTTGTGTAACTAAATCCCACTTAGACCATGAAATAATGACCCAAACCTGACTTAAATTATAAACAGTCAGGGAGTGTTTCTCAGAAGAGTCAAACTTAAACGTTGAAGGGTTTTTTCAGACTCTAATTGTGAGGCACACCCTTTAAATACCATTTGAACTTTAAATTTAATTTCTGGGTTTTTATTTTATTTATTTTATTTTATTCTAAATAGAAATAAAACATTTGGGTTTGGTTACAGTGAGCATAAATTAACTTCTGACTTCAAGATGGTTGTGGCACCTGCGTGAGCAGCACATCTAGATGGACAGGTGATGTTTTTTTCCCCGATCAGAAACAAAAGTTTTCGTTAACAAACAAAGAGAAGGATGAGCTAGGAACCTATGGTCCATCCTAGACGTTCTAAAGTCTATGGTTGCGCTGATTTTGGCTGGGATAGTGTTAATTCTCTTCACAGTAACTAGTATGGGTCTATGTTTTGGATTTGTGCTGGAAATAGTGTTGAAAACACAGGGATGTTTTCATTATTGCTGGGCAGTGCTTACACAGCATCAAGGTCTTCTCTGCTTCTCACACCATCCCAACAGCAAGTGGGCTGGGGCTGTACAAGAAGTTGGGAGAGGACACAGACGGGACAGCTGATCCCAACTGACTAAAAGGGCTATTCCATACCATGTGGCATCATGCTCAACATATAAAGCTGGAGGAAGAAGAAGGAAGGGGAGGATGTCTGGAGTGATGGCATTTGTCTTCCCAAGTCACTGTCATGAGTGATGGAGCCCTGCTTTCCTGAACATGGCTGAGCACCTACCTACTAAGAGGAAGTAGTGAAAGAATTCCTTGTTTTGCTTTGCTTGTGTGCGTGGCTTTCCCTATTAAACTGTCTTTATCTCAAACGGTGAGTTTTTTTCACTTTTACTCTTCTGATCCTCCACCCCATCCCACCAGAGGGGAGTGAACAAGTGGCTGTGTGGGGCTTGGTTGCTGTCTGGGGTTAAACCATGACAATGGTAAAATTTCCAAGCTTCTAATATCATTTGAGTCCTAAAGCACAAACGTCTGCTGCATGCAAAGACAGTGAAATGTATCATTGCTCCAAAATCATAGCTGCATACCACCACTTCTAGATGCCTGTCAGGTAAACCAAGGACGTGAGCACCTATTAGGCACTGTGTTCAGGCAAACAGAATAGGCAGCAGTTGCACAGATCTCAAATGCAATTAAGGAACAGAAATGAAGTAGAACTTCCTGAACAGCCAGCAACCACACAACTATTTAACACAGCAATGAGATTTCATGCTTTTATACGCAAGATTTATAGCAATTTTAATGTGTCTAGTGACACTCTGTGTTAAATGTTACAGGATATAATAAAAGTTGAATCGGAACCTAATCATATAATTCATCAAAAGAAATTGCTTTTTTGCACTCTGTCCTTGCCTTAATATTAGAAGAACTAGGGGCACAATTTGAAACTCTTACAGAGAGAAGGTATTTTCGATTTTGTTTGTATAATTTTGAGTATAGCTTGCGGCTTAATTAAAAAATGTGATTTTCAGTGGCTGCTGTTTGTAACATCCTTTCTTTGTCTTAGATCTCATTTGTGCAAGGTTGCAGGTTGCCTCTGACAACAGAACTGTGAGGAAAAGCTCTTCCTTTGGGTGTTTGGTTTGCAATGGCAGGGCAGTGTTCAAAATAAGGTCTCACAGTATTCAATACTGTCTTTTATCAGATAATTTTTATTCCTATTTCTAAGTTGTAAACATTTGAGGATTTTTTTTCTGTTGATTAAACAAAATGAGGAATTAACCCAATATGTTGATTTCAATTGGTAGTTGAGAACCAAACCATACAGGACCAGCAGCTACTCAGACCCTGTCTTATTAAACATTGAAAAGGCAGTAGGTAGAACAGATTATAGAATCATAAAATCATTTAGGTTGGAAAAGACCTTTAAGATCATCAAGTCCAACCGTAAAGTCTTCAGTCATCTCTGAAGACTGTCAGGTACCTGACATTGCAAACATATCCAGAGCAACCTAATTAAAATGTGAAACTTTCTATTTTTACTAATTTAAAAAAATAAGATTGTGGGTAAATTACAAACTGACATCTGGGGTTAAATATTTGAATTACAATATAGCTTTCCATATAAATGTATTGATCAAAAATTATAGTAACTGAAAAATGAAGCTGACTCAGCTTCTAAGAGCAAACACTCCAGAAGCTTGCTATCAATTCACACCACCATCATATGGTCTTTATATCAATTTCCACTTCATCACCTTGAGTCAATTACTATAGCAGCCTTAGTTTCAGTCAAAGCCAATCAACAGTTCAACCACAGAATCAATTAGATCAGCTGCTACCGGACTTATTAAGGTAAAACAACAGGTACCTTTCATATTCTGTTTCTTTTTGTCTCTACCGGACCTCACTTATATTTCCAGATTTGTATTAGCAAGATATAACTAGATCAAGAAATTATAATGCACAGTGTATGTAGCACATTGACTGAGTAAATATTCAACTTTATGATATAGCCTCAATGGGATATAGCTGATTTTGTAGATACTGTATTGCACTACTGCACACGAAAGTGTTAAACTTTCTCAGAAAAACTGATTGTGTTTTTATTATATATTTGTTTTTTCTTACTCAATATATCTTTATCCAAATATTTTACTTAACCATTTATCTGC